TACACCCCACGGTACCCGCATCATCCTCTGAGAGAAACGCAGCGTGGATAGGGTCTCCTCTAGGTGCTCTCTTTCGGGCCATATGTTCGCTATCAAGCATGTCTTGCTGTTCCCTGCAGCAGCAGCAGCAACAGCAGCAGCAGCAGATGCAGCAGCAGCAGCAGCAGATAGCAGCAGCAGCAGCAACAGATAGCAGCAGCAGCAGCACCAGCACCAGCAGCAGCAGCAGCAGATAGCAGCAGCAGCGACAGCAACAGCAGCAGCAGCAGTGCTTCACGTTGGACCGGACTTCCGAGTAAACCCTAAACCCTAAACCCTAAACCCTAAACCCTAAACCCTAAACCCTCGTATCACCCCCAAGAGTATCTTTAAGAAGATGCGTGAGGCGGCTGGAGCGGTAAGGAATATGATCTCTCTTCTTCTCCCCCAACGCAACCACCACCTGCACACAAACCCTAAACCCTAAACCCTAAACCCTAAACCCTAAACCCTATGCTCAACACGTTATCCGCTAAACCCTAAACCCTAAACCCTCTCTCCCTATCCCCTCCCCCCTAAACCCTAAACCCTCTCCCTGTAACACCCCTAAACCCTAAACAACCCCCTAACCCCTCTCCCCTCCCCCCTAAACCCTAAACCCTAAACCCTAAACCCTAAACCCTAGAAAACCCTCACCATTTCGAGTATAGACAGGCTTTTATTGATGAAGTTTGTATCTTTTGTGTTTTGTGTTTGTATTTGTGTTTTTTTAATTTTTTCTGATCCGGCGAGATCAACGAAATGTATTTTACTACATTTGGTTTGTTCTGCGGTGTATGTGCAGCTCTTGGAGTGTACATACACCGTAAATATTGCATGCGTTCTGCTGCTTTTTTTATTTATTTTATTTTGAGATACTAAACGTATTCTATTTCCGCTTAATACTTCTCTCAATGCTTCTTCTTCTTCTCTACATGGACACACACATAAACCACGCACATACACCCCACGGCTCGCGTCCTCTTGGATCTATACACACACACACACACACAAATATATATATGTGTATATATATGTATATATATATATATATATATATATATATATATATATATATAT